ATTATTATTATTATTATTATTATTATTATTATTATTATTATTATTATTATTATTATTATTATTATTATTATTATTAAGGAGGTGGTTGTGGTAGTGGTGGTGGTGGTGATGATGATGGTTATTATAATAAAGAAGATTAGACGCGTCAGTTTCCATCAGATCAGAATGTGATTCGGAGGAAACACTAGCTGAATGTGTAAAGCTATTATTACTATAATTATTATGGGGTACTTTAGTTTGATTTGAAACTTCGCGAGGAGGAGGATGTGCAAGGAAAATATCATCATCATCGTTAGTTTGAATAGCATTTTTTCTTTTGTTATTATTAATGTCCACGTTGAGCTTTATTTTACTGGTCCCAATTATGACCCTCCTACTACGGACTCGGCGACCATTAACTTTTGAATGATTTTTTGCATTTTTATTACCATCATTATCTTTGCTTTGTGCATCATTCATTTGTTCCTCATTGATCTCCTCGTTCAGCATATCTCCTCTTTGACCATTCATTTTTGGCTTTTCAACTAATAATATATCGTCCTCTTCTCGCGAAGTATTATCTATTTCAACTTGGATATGTGTACTGTTTTCTACTTGTCCACCTATTTCTTCTTGATGTGTAACTTTAAGTTTTTTATTTCGACCGCCGCGTCGGCCTTTTGCTTTTGCGCTTGGGTTATTATTATTGGCAGACGAAAAAACAGATTGTTGTTGAACCGATTCTTTTACGTCACTTATGGATGCTAGCGCGTCTTCGAAAACCGGTGGCTCTTGTGATTCTTCGTTTTTCCGTTTTACCGAAGACCGTAGCGTGCGTGTAACCACTACAGGTTCAGTTTTATTTTTGTTAGCTGCTTTTTTAATACTAGGTGGCATTTTGTTATTATGCTGATTATGATTACGATTATTATGATTATGATTTCAATCTTTCTTTTTTTAGTAGTAAGAAATGAAGCAGAAAAAAGTAATTATTAGAAGATCGATGGCCAACCAACATTCACGAAATATTTATTTTGTAGAAAATCTATCAATAAAGGTAAATTGATCATCATCTATCAGTAAAAGATGAAGGTCAATTCAGGAATAACATAGTCGAATGAATAGACAGCATATGTTAAAAAAACTCACCTTATTAAAAAAATTCATATCCCATATGTATTCTCGGAGAGTTAATCAATCAATCAATCACACTTTTTTTATATAAAATAACCATAAATTGAAGACATCACATAATGTAATCGAGATAATTAAATAATAATAACAATAATAATGATAAATTATTATTATCATAATCATTATTTATTCTCTAAATTACTTGACCCAACCACACAAAGAATGAGAAAAAGACGAATAATATTATAAAGAAAATCTCGTATTCCATAATTGTGATAAAAATTCGGCGAAAAGAACTCGAAGCAAACTTACATCCATCAAATACGCTGAATATCATTCTCGAGTCCAAAAGCAATAGTAATGATAGTAGTAGTTATGACGATGATAGTGATATTGATAAAGAACAACGCCCTGGTTTCGGCACGGACGTAGTAGTGATGACGCGATTCCAGAAAATAGTAATAGTAGAATTGATAATGTTTCAAATAGTTCGACACAGCAGAAGCAGTAGCAGTCGTTATGAAAAGTCTGTTGATTGACATTATTTTGTCTTTTAATGATCGTCAAAATTGTTGTTGATGCATTCACGTAATCAACTGCTCCTCCTTCCGCCTCTTCTCTTTATTATTAAATTATCAAAGAATGCGGATTAATATATTATGTAAAGGCGATTTTAACTGGCAGAAAAAAAAGAAAGAAAAGAACATAAAAAATAATTTTAGTTGATAAAAAATCACCAATTCAATCGGAAAGAAATAAAGGAAGAGATGGTATAGAAATTGTATTTCATTACTGTGATCGAGTATTTGTATTTGATAATTTCATGTGGAAACCAAACAGAGATCGATGGTTTTTTTTTCAAAAATCAAAAGCATAAAACGCGTAAAATAAGAGATGAACATAATTTTTGTAGATAAAAAAACAAAATTTTAAATAAATAAATAAATAAATTAAATAATTCAACATCAAATTAGTCAAAAAGTAAAAAACAATAAAATAGAAAATCAACACTCACACTTTTTCAAAAATAAGAACTGTGATAAAAGGTCTTTTCTTATTTTAAACATATTTTTAAAACTACCACACTACCACACTACTACACTCACTCCACTCCACTCCACTCACGTACACCTTCACTCACTCCAACCTTCCACCACACTGCCTCAAACTCAGTTAACAAAGAAACACGCACATACTTACATATTATATTATAATTTCTTGTGTTAGTTAAGTCGCTTATTTACGTTCGAACCTTTTTTTAACAGTAGTTTCTTTTTTTTTTTAGAAACAAGGTACAAGTTTTTTCTTTATAGTTGGATTTATTATCGCGACAATATTAATTTGCTAGTTTAAAAAACACAAGTCATCCTTCTCTATCTATCTACGGTACATGCACATGTATGATACACATGCAGATCGGTATGTTCGGGTAACATCATTTTTATTAATTTATGTCATGTCGCAGATTTTTCTAGATCATGGGGGTGGACATTAATTTCGATCATAGCCATCATTGAAACTAGTCATCATCATCGCCACCATTTTTCGTTTTTTTATATTTTCTATAAGAGAAATTCGGATTTTCGCGAGTACGCTTGATCCCTCGCGACGGTTCTCCGATATTTTCTTCTGCAGCAGCAGCAGCAGCATCACCATCAGCCGTCTCGTTAAACCATTCCAGTAAATCAGATTGATTTTCGCGCCCGAATGTTGTGCCCTCGTTAATGTTGATTTTGTCGGTGGAATTGTCCAACATCAGACCGACGATTTGGAGTTTTTTCCTTACAAGAGGCCAGACAATGTCATCTAAGAAATTGAATCAATTTTTTTTTTTGGCAACGAAATTTATTCTAGAAATTATGGTTGATATAATGATTTACCGGCAGTGCCACCTGCCAAAATATACTTGATATCAACTTTTTCGTCTCGACCTATACGCTATATAAAATGTGTAAGCTATTTAATAATGAATATGACGGAGAAGTTCCTTTTAAAGACTTACGTGAGCTCGATCTTCTGCTTGTAAGAGCGCAGCAGGATTCCAATAAAGCTCTGCAAAAACCACTATAAATCACATACGAGTAGGATGAACAAATTTAATGTATAATATAGACATGTTCTTTGTAAGAAAACAAACAAATTTTGTTATCACCGAGATCAGCCGCCGTCAGAGTCAATCCAGTATTGGCAGCAGTGATACTAAGAAGCGCGATTCGAGTACTGCTATCGTTTTGGAATTGGTCGACCAAAGCTTGTCGTTTAGCAGACGGTACGGATCCATCAATTCGTATATATTTCTATTGTTGTTACAGATGTTATAAGTAGGAACCAAATATTTTAAACTACTGTACTCGACTACATACTATTGATTTATGATCCAAGTCTTTTGAAAATCCATTGAGAACAATATGGTGATGTGCAAATACAAGGAATTTCTTTTCGGTAGATTCGTACAGATCGCTTACGTATTCTATTATCCCGGGCAATTTTATCTTTGCTGTTTGTTCCCACTACGAAAACAAAAATAAACTTAAGTAATCGATTGATTAAATCATAGTTTATAAATATATACAATACCATCGCGCCCAAAATCATTTGTTTCTCTCTCTTTATTTTATAGGTGCTTTCCTGTTCTTCATTTTCATCAAGCTTTGCTTTCTTAGCTTTTAGCTCTTCAATTGGCTTCATTGAAGTTTTGTCAATTTCTACAAGAACCAAAATTTAGCATAAAAATTAATAACTTTCAACTCTTCCAATAACAGCCAAATAACAACATCACTCACTTATTTTTATAATCGCCCGAGTTTTCGCGGGTAATTGCAACTTCACGTCTTTTTTCAATCGTCGTATTAGAATGGTTTTTGCTAGTAACCAATGAAGTTCTTCTAAATTCAAGCTTCCTGTTTAGTCGATTGATCATTGATTGTGAATATTAATTTTATATTTTTTGTGATGTATCGGATATCAGAAACCAGAATATTATAATAAAATGTCATGCCTTTAGTGTCCCAAATTCTCTTGTTTCCCATCCAAATGTGCTTAGGATTACAATAACGATTGGCAAATTGATTAAAGCTTGGAAATAGTTTATTGTTTAATGCCTCAATAAGACCGTAGAGCTCTTCAGGCCTTGACAGAGCCTATTTTTAAGAAATAAGAGTTTAATGAATATAAATTCTTTACAGAAAATAAGATTATCCTTACCGGAGTACCCTGCATCAACAAAAATATAGTAAATAAACGTTCAAAGATAAGGAATTATTATCCAAATAAAGACAACAATCAATTGAATATAAAAAATGTCAAAATATTTACAGTCAAGAGAATTGCTCTACGGGTTTCGTGAATCATCTTTAAGCAAACTTGAGATCTTTTAGCCTTAAAAAACAAGAGATATAAGATAATCCTCAATCAATTTTTATTCAAAAATTTCAAAAAAGAAATTAACAAATACCGATCGATTTTTCAAATAATGTGCCTCATCAGCAATAACAACTTTGAATTGATCATTAAAGGTACCAGCCATAGTTCTACAAAGATCATAGCTAACAATCGCAAATTTAGCCATAGGACTTTGTAGTTTATCAGCTCCACGAAAGATGACTTGGATTTCTTCTTCCGGAATTTGAAGCCACCGTTGTATTTCATTCGACCAGGTTAATCTTAGACTAGACGGGCATATTACCAGTACAGGCCATTCGCGGTAATATGAACAAATGGTTAATGCTTGAATTGTTTTTCCTAGACCCATTTCATCACCAATCAAAACTCTGCCTCCCTTTGTTAATGCCTCAATCACACCTTCCTTTTGAAAAGGCATTAATATTTGCCAAAGCTGTGGTGAAATTTTTGATGTGATGTCAGCTTCTATTTGTGTCTTTGGCACTTTGGATTTATTCGAATCGGCAGCAAAAAGCTTTAGAATGTGGGGCGGAAAAGTGTTAAAGACTACGGGGAAGTTTAATTTTTTGAGTTCTTTTGCGCAATCTTCGTATTGACAAAATGGTATTCGCCAGCCTTTATCTTCTCGTACGAAGGTGGCATATTTCAATCGGCGCCAGAATTCTAATAATCTCTCTTGGTACCCACACACGATGAGATAATCTTTACCGTATAAAACAAATTTTATCTCTATTGGCTTAGCCTGCGGAGTAGGTGGTGGTGGTGCTGCTACTGCTTGTGATGCTTGCGATGGACCAGCATTAGAATTGCCTTTTAACTCATTTGGTTTTGGTAATGATTGTGATAGTTTAGCTTGTGATGGACCACTATACGCAAAATTTGCCAAATGCATCGAAAATTTTGATGTTTGAGACGTCCCATTATTGTTGGTATTGCGTGAAGAAATATTTTCCGTCTTTTGATTAGTGTATGTATAATTTGTCTTTATCGTTGAAGCTTGAGGCGCTCTGGCTGGGACGCTAAACGTTGTTTGAGAACTTGCGTTTGGTACCTCATTGGGTTTATTATTGATATGAAAATTGCCGTTATTTTGCCGTTGTTGACCTTCTACAGGTAAAGTCTTTGCGCTTGGTAGGTTTGAGTTGTGAATTTGTCTTGCAGTCATTATTACGGGTTTACTTGTAATCGTTGTATGATACTTTGCCATTTCATCTTGATCGTCTGCCCAAATGAAAAAGTTATGACAATCATAGCAAGAATAAAATGGTCTTCCATTATTATTGTTTTCTTTCTTGACTGTTTGCAAGTTTACTTTTTTTCCGCAAGCCAAACATGTTATACTAGATTTGTGAGTATTATTCATCTTATCGTCATCAAGTGTGTTTACCGGTGTCATATATATATCGATATATAATTGACGCGATTATTTACCAAACTATCGCGTGTATTGTGTTACATTGACGTGATCAATGGTAAATCCTCTTAACGTTAATGTTTTAGTGTTTCGCGTGGGATTAGTGTAGCTTTTGTTAATTTTGTAAAGCAGAATAGTTCTATATATACCTTTCAAAATTTTAGTTATAGCGGTATCTTTTCAAACATATTTCATACACCTATACGAATGGATTCGCATGATAAGCTTCGAATCGTTGTAGTAGGCGATTCCGGGGTGGTAAGATTTTGGTAAAGCACAAAAATACCTGGTGTTTTATTTATCTTTGATGACGAATGCTTATTTTGACTTGAAAAAGAAACCGCTTACTCATCACGTGTTTGTGTTGCTACTATTTCTGTTTTATACAGGGAAAAACGTGTCTAGTCCATATTCTATGTCATAATGAAGCACTAAGAAACCATACATGGACTATTGGTTGTTCAGTTGAAGTAAAGGTATTAGTTCAAAACTTTTCTAAAGCAATTTCTCATTCGCACATGAAAAATTCTATTGATTGACATCTGTTTTCTTTGATCAAATAACTCGATCATTCCTCGCTGGCATTTCAGAAACACATTCATACACGGACAATGAAATCATATTTTGTAGAATTCATTGATGTTGGTGGATCAACTAAACACCCGTCATCGCGAAACATGTTTTATCAGCACATTGATGGAATTATACTCGTGCATGATGTGAGCAACAGAAAATCTTATTATAATTTATGGCGGTGGATTGCCGAAGTGCTGAATTCTGATGCATTTAAAGAGGGGGGAGAACGGGCTATGAATGGAAGTATGACGAGTATGAGCAGTAGTGCAAGTGGAAGCGGGTTCTTGGCCAATTCTAATTTAAGTATGTCGGGATCGCTTAATGGGGGCAAGAAAGGCTGATAATGTTATTAAGATCACATTACTCTTTTTTTTATTTGCAAGGATAATTTTTTTATTGTTATTTGATGTATTTTTATATTGGTTTGAAATAGAGGAATATGATTTCGAGTTACAGATAGGAGATAGAAATTTACATGTACCGATATTGGTAGTTGGCACTAAAGCAGACCTCGTGAAACAAGAGTTAACCGGTCGACAAAGACGATACAGCATTGTTGAGGAATATGGAGGTGATTGTTTTAACGTGGTAGGTGAGAATAATTATTATTGTTGTCATTCTTTATTATTACTATCTCCATCCATATAAAAAAGACCGTTCATTTTTTATTTTCTATAGTGTACATTAGCATCAACACATTTCGCACGAGGTTCAATAGCAGCCGAAAAAATTGACGCGTTTTTCGACAAGGTGATTGACAAAAAATTTCATCATTTACAGAGCCCGACGTTTGCCTTCACTACCAACAGTACGTCAGGCAATAATACACGAGATGATTATCGAAGACGGACGTTAAATATGTTGACGACGGGTGTTGCTGCTTCATCACCGTCGTCTTCGTCTAATAATAATAACAATGTTACACTTTCTGGATTGGGTAGTCCTGGCTTATCCTCGTCATTAGGAGGAGGGTATTTGAGTAAAAGTTCGGCGACAGCTAATAGTGTTAGTACTTCACATTCTAGTCGGATAGACACTTTACGAGATTTTAATACGTCAAAAAAATCATCGTGGAATGGATTCAGGAATCCAAATACCTCGTATTCTGATCAACTGATGGCGGAAGACAATTCTTATAACAATAGTAGTAATAATATTATTAATTCAGGGATCGGAGTTGGAAATAGTGGTAGTAATAATATCCTCTCACCTCGACAATCTCTATCATCATCAAGTTTAAAACAACATTATTTAACTTCAAACATTTTTCAAAATCAGAACAATAATCATAGTAATAACAATAGCAATATGAATCAATGGCAGCAGCTGCAGCAGCAACAAGAATTACAACAAAAATCTCGTGCTATTTCACCTCGTCCACCCTCCTCTTCGCGTGTTTTTATTCCTAATAATGTAATGTCACGCACACCTACTCGGACTACTACTAATGCTAACGTTACAACTACTCACCCATCTTCGTCCATGAATTTTGGTGGCAGTGGTATGAGTGGAAGATAGGGATCTAAAAGGAGGAAATAAGGGCAATATTTTGTCGTGTTCTATATTTCTTTGTGTACTATATTTATTTTATTATATATTAAACAGATAATGATAATTTTATTACTAGTTGAATGACTCCAGTTTGTTGAATCAAAATGACAATCTATAAATGGATTACAATAAATAAATCTAACGCTATATTTTAGTACTAAACAATTTGATGATCCATTAATATCAAAGGATGTTAGTAAATACTGGAAAAAATAATGAATGTTATAGTTGAAATTCTCAAGATAATATAATTTTTTCTTTCAACTATGTTATATCTGAATTACATAAGATGCGATTTATCGCTCTTCAACCATGAGATTGTGTGTAAAAAATCCAAATTAAACTTTGATTTCAAAGGGGAAATCAGTGGAGATCTTGAAGAAAATGAGAAACAACCAAGAAATTTCGTGTTTTCCCGTGATAATCTGATTATACAATACACACCAAAACTATATTAAGTTTATTTATTTTTTGGAGATTCACTAAATAATATTCTACAATAGTCTATAAATTTTTTTTTATAATAAAGGTTTTATAACCTAAATTTTCAATTATCTAATAAACTATAGGGAACTATATAATTATTCCTTCAAGAAGTATCGCGTATATACTACCGTAAAATAATTTAAACCGTTATATCACTACTGACAATGTATACGTGACTTCTCTTTATGAAAATCTCGTTACAGACTGCAATTCGTTTACTAAACGCAATATTAAGAAAACACATCCTCACGATCTGCCTCGACTTCTTCCTCCATTGCACTGAAATTAAGGAAATGTTGCGGCCGATGTAGCTCATGATAAAATTCTTTGGGTACATCAAGCTTCAATTTATAGGTCATTGTCGGACTATGTGACGGGCCCATAAACGAGTAATTCCAAACATCATTCTCAGGAACCATGAAATAACCCATAAACCGATCCGACAACAGCATTTGTACTTTCTCAGCAAATGTAGGTAGGTAACCAGGTGGATTTGGCGTGTTGTCTTTGTTGCTCCGTGCCCATTCGAAACCGGACGGTGTTAATTTGTAGGCTGTTAATGAACAGGAACCGGGTGTGAAACTGACAGTCATTGAGATTGTCTTGTCAGCATCCCAGTATGCCTTGTTCTCGGCGACGATTCTTGCGTGAAGAGAAAGTATTGTTGGAGATAGTTGTGCTGTTTCGAATGGTTGGGTTACGAGTAGACCGAGTGGCTCTAGATCTTGTAGGTACTCGTGATTTGGAAGGGTATTTGGCAATTGTACTGATTGATGAGTGCCATATTGTGGAACTATCACCAACGATCTGATTTCTTTGACTTGTGCATTGTCTTTTGGCGATATACCATACATATATGCAGCAATTTGCGTACGAAGGTCAGCAATTTGAATGAATCGTTTGAGTACGTTCTTTGGTAATACATAAGTGTATCCGGTATCTCTTATGTCGTCTGCATTTACGTATATGTGATTTGTACGTAGATGCAAATTCGTAGATGATATAGCACGTATACGCCATTCTGTTTTCGATGAGAATGTCTGAGTCTCATAATTACTTGTAGTCGTGACAATCATTTCATCGCCATGAATATTTTGTGTTTTTGTTGTGACAGCAGTCAACTGCGATTGTTCCTTTGTTTGTTTTTCAATTTCGGCAATTTGTTGACGTTGAAGCGACGGTGCCGAAATTTCCATACCGAGAATAATATCACGTATTTCTGATTGAGTTAGGGAAGCAACATTAACATTGTTCTTTTTACCGTAATCAGCCAAAATCAAATCTCTTAGTGCGTTTTCTACTTTTATCCATTCTTCGTCGGTTAATGTGGGCCAAATGTGATGCGGTTCAGTAATTGTATTTTTGTCTGGACGCAGAATCATTTTTGTCTTGTCTGTGTTGACGTGCAAAGCTCGTAATATGAGAATAAGACGTGAGAAGGCGGTGTATGATGAAATGGTTTTGAGCCAGTCGTCAAAAAGATTGAAGAGAGTCATTTGAGGTTCAGTAGCTTTAAGAATCAAATCTCCAAATTTTTCAAGTTTAAGACATGCTTGGAATGGCAATTGTAATTCACTGCCCTTAATAACAATATTCGGGAAATCGAGTAAATGAACCTCCAAAGGATCCAACATTCCTTTTCTCGTCACAATAATTTGTTTGGGTTGTTCTTCAATTGGTAACGAACGAATCAACGCGGCGACTTCTTCAGCCGTTTTCCATTTAGCTAATTGACCAAGGCGTTTCTGACCAGCCCAGACTGACGTGTGAATGATTTTCAAGAATAATTGACCAGTACGCGGATTAAATATGAAAATTGCTCCGTTGATTGGTTTAGTGGTTAGATTGCCCTCGAATGTCTTATGAATTGTCACTCGATACACGTTGGTGTCATCAACAAACCAGATGATTTGATTAGAGAATAGTTCGGCGTAATTCTGTGATGACAGGTATGGTTCGGTAGGTTCTGAAGAGTATAATTGCAAACCTTTACGTATACGCTCACGTAATACGTATAATGCTGGATTTGCTTTCATGATTTTTGCCATCGCAGATTGCATTAATGGTTTCATGCCGGGTATCCAATGGCCATAAGCACTATGTAAGTTATATGCCAGATCAATACCGACCATCACGCCAAATGGTGATGGATAAATACTCATGTTATCAGTGGTGTAATCCAAGAATTTAGCTCTTGTGTATCGCTCGATATCATGTGAATCGAAATCACCCCATCTTAATTGAACATCCACGAACCACCGTGCCGTAGTCGTTCCATCCATAGTATCTTTATTATCGTTAAGTAAGGATGGTTTTGACACATTCCATTTGTAAGCAGCAAACAATAAAATATCAGCGCAAGATGACGTCATCTTGTACGATTTTCTTGGATGGATGGTTTCCTTTTGTACTGTTTCTATTTGTAAGCTTTCTAATTCGGAATCAAATACTTGACACAAGTCCATGACACATGACTCGTGTATTTTCTGCCATAAATGAGCTCTAAATATTTGAATTAAACTGATTTTTAGAGTGGGAATTTTGCCGTGCATGAAGATACCAGTCAAATCGAGTTGTACTTGGAAACCAACGTAGACATTAGCACGATTGATTGTAGGTGACCACCAAAGTGTGAATCGACGATTAGGAATTTGATTGAGACCAGAACGCTGAGCATTGGTCAATTTCTTGTATTTCATACTCTCTTCAAATCCACTGGCCTTTTCCCAGAACAATCCTTCCCATGTAGCGAAGAAGGTTCCTTTAAATAGTGAATGTTCCAAGATTCCTTCTACGCCACCAAGAGCCTGAATCATATCTGTACGATAATTATTCAATGACCATAATTTACCGTCGTGACGAGAATGAGTCCACCAGAAAGGATTATTTTTCAGCACTTGATATTGTTTGAAGTCTGTTCTTACACGCCAACCTTTGTCGTATGCGAGTGTATGTCGATCTTTTGAGAATAGTGTGTTAATACGTGGAAGGCCACGATCCCAAGAATCCTCAAGATCTTCCAATGTCAATCGTCTATTTTGAGCATTTGCTTCTTGTCTTTTGAGCGCATATTCAGCCCAAACACGTTGTGAATCGATAAACTCCGATTCCCATGGTTGTAAATAACGGAATAAATTGGGAATCAATTGATCTTCCTCGTGGCCCATACCAGATCGAAAATGAGTTATTCCCGTTTCTGTCTGCTTAGACCATCGAAGATCCGATTGTGGAATGAGTACGTGGCCCATAGACAACATTCCGAGTCCACCAAGTTCTTTAGGACAATAAAATACGACAGGTGGGAAACGTGAAGGCATTTTAGAGTTGAGACCTATCTTAATTCTAGTTTGAATTTTATTTTCTGCTTTTACAATAATATCAAGTAGTTCTCGGGTGTGCACAACAGCCTCTCTAAAGTATGACATCAAACCGATAAGGCAAGTATTCCATTTATTACTAATTTTACTGAATGTTGTGCTTCCACTAGCCATTAAAATTTGTCGAACTCGATTATGGAATTTCTGCATCGACTCTTCATCAACGCGAAGGAAAGCTTGTGCAGTTCGCTCTTTACTCTGCTCATTAATTAAATTCCATACACCGTCTTTAAGCGTGAACTCTTCATTTAAATTACGAATCTTTGGCAAAATTCTTACTTCAAATCCACACATAGAGAACAAAAGATTTGGATTGTCCTTACTATAAACACTAACAAAACTATCATCCCAATCAATGGTAGTCAGAGAACGAGGTAATCGATTTTTAATGTCCCAGAAAACCGCACGACCCAGATTCACGTCACTCTTCATTAATCGCATTCTACAATCTCTAGGCCAACATTTCTTATTATTATAGCCGACAATATTTTCCGAGTTGGGATCAGGATGTTCAGTCAAATAGCGTTGAATGAGATCACGAGCCTCGTCTGCAGTGAAACGGAAGAATATGTGTATTTTGTCAATGTAGCGACAATAGAGACGGATGGGATGACGTGTTTCAGTTGCGACGTCTCGGAATTGCAAAAAATCGTTGGGCATTTGTGGAGGTCCAGCCATTTCTGAAGCACGTTGTAAGCCTAAAACAAGCAAATCGAGAATTAAACCGTAGTATTGGAAGATGAAACTGGCAAATTGTAATCCTCTAATAAGTCCATATGCATTGACATGGTTCATGTCTTTATAATTCAAGACTACGTTATTCTTTGCAGTCATATAATCAGCAAGATTATGATCTAAAATCAATCGTAATAATCTATTCAACAACGTCAAGTCAATCTTTTCGTATACTTTGCTGAATTGGGTTTCTAACATGACATTGCATTCCCCTTCGGAAGTTTCCCAAACGTCCGTTAAATTGTTGATTCCTTGACAGAATTTGTAGGCAAGCAATGGTGGTGGTTCAGTGTCTGATGGTTTAATCCATGCCGGGAAAAGATTTCGTTTGGTTCCCTCATACCAAAGATATTGATCGAGATAAGCGTCGGTAATCTTTTCAAGAGGTTCAACGTCGAATACTGGAATTAAATGACTATAGAGATCCATAAATTCGATTCCAACTTCTTTGAATGCACGTTGAGTAAGCAAGAGACGTTTAATCCTGCTTAATGCCTCATGCGGATTATCATATGCTTGTTCAATTAGACCCAGTTCTTCACGTTGACTCTGATTTAATCTGCCTTTGACACTGTATGCTTCTTTCAGTCTTTCCAATGCCAAAATCAGCAATTTCGTATCATGTTTATAAGAGAGAGGAGGGAATGGAATAGGCGAAAATTTACGACTTTCCAGCCAATGCACCGTCGAAGTGTAAATGGCAACAGCCTCTTCTGCAGTAATATAAGGTCCGTCCTTCAAGTAATTATGTTGACGTTCTTGTTCAGCCTTTAGCCAAAGACGAGTTAAACGACCAAGATTCTTTTTACAGACTGTTTTATCTACGGTTGCACCTCTTCGAATTCTTTCACGATTATAGTGTGCAACACTTGTCCACCAATCTGCTTTACTTTTTACATACCTCAAGATCATATTTTCAATAGGTTTTGGCATTCCCATAATATGCCATGGGACATTGGCTTTCCAACATCTCCAGGCTTCACTCAAATGTTGCAATATTGTCTTTGATTTATTAGCTTTGATGCCCTCAGGCATCATATCAAGTATATCATGCATTACTGCTGCACGCAACTCAAGATCATAATGTGATTCTACACGTTGTTTTGTTACTGTTTTGGCGATTCCCTTGGAATGACGACCTTCGAAATGACGTGCCAACAGATTTCCAAGCCATCGCTCCAAGAGAGGAACAATACCACGCATAAAGAACAGCCAAACTCGCCATCCTGGAGCCCAGAATCCACATCCTGGTCCTTTTCCAACAGGGCCTGAATTAAATCGATAGTAAATGAGATGCTTAAGATCCTTGCAAAGACGAATTTGTCTCATTAGACGATATTTATATCGATACATTCCGGTAAGTTGTCCCACATGAGCAAATACATATTGTAATCCATCAGCCAATTGAAAAGCATCCACATTACCCAAACGATATTGCACATGACTATCAACTATTAGTTTCATTAAGCGGAGGATTTCTCGACATAAATGAAACGCATTACCGAAACGTGATTTCTTTCTTTCTTTTGTAGTTAAGGTTTTTACTGGTTTCAAATTAAAATTGAAATCTAAATGAAGATAATTCAAATTTTTTCGATGAATCAATAGATTCAACATATTATATCCTTGTCGACATACTTGCAGTCCAGCTTCAACCCAGTCAAGTTCAGTAGTTTGGAAAAATTTTGTGGATTTCAGCTGACGGAACAAGTATTTTTTATTGAGCGCTTTTGGCGACCGATGCTTCAACGCGTTTAGTACAAAACATTTTATTAACTTCTGATAAGAGACTCGAACTTTGACAGGTTGTCCGGGTGGACAATGTTCAAGATACCAGTTCTTGACTAATGGCACGTCTTCAGATCTTCTAGTGCGTCCACTACGTTTATTGAATGGATGTGGTGCCCACCACAAAGCAATACCGTCAGCAGTGGTATCTGTGTATACCGAAATATCTTCAAGGAATGGTTTCACATGTTCAGGCAAAGAGAATTCCTCGTCGACATCTCCATCACCAAAAATTTCATCTTCGTGTGATTCAAATTCATTTTGTGATGCTACAGTTCGTGTGGAGATTGGATTGATAATTGGATCGTAGTAGAATGCAGGTAAATCAGGATCTTCTGAGCGAATGTACACCACCGTGGGTTCATGATACCAAGAAACGTGTACAGAGCGCGGCAGAGAATTGTACAGAAATGGGAATGCTATTTTATATTCTGTACGAATTGGCTGACGAATAATAATTTTGTTGATGTCATTGAATTCGTTCCAATCATCATCGGCGGTATCCATATCTCGATACAACGGTTCAAATTTAGGGCCTCCAGGAATGGCCATATTTAATGCTTTAGCAGTGAAGAACGATTTCATATCAAACAGATAAAAATAATTTTGGTCAGTCAAATCTGACAATAATTGATGTGCCAGACGATATAACGTCGACATTATAGGCAAATTCAGTTTCCAACGACGATAAGTAGGTCCATTTACGAATTTTGTGTCCATTAGTGGTCTATGGTCGTAAAGCCATTCGTAGACCGGCTTATCCTCGTCTTCTTCTAGTTCCATTTGAATCGCCTCTAATGGCTCAACATCTAGAATATTGTCACCGTAGTCCAACGCGGGTTCTTCGTCGTCGAAAGGCGGGAATCGCATACGCTTAAAGTGACGTCTGTCACGTTTCTCGCGACGCATCATAATCCACATTGTTCCCCATTGTGCTATGTAGACTGGTTCTATAACCCATGGAATTTCATTGACGAATGTTATCGCTCCTGTAATATGATATAAAACTGGAACTTCACGAACCTAGAAATATTAAAAAAAGACGAAAACTTATATTAGGTAGTGATGATATAAATGAATTCAAAATAATTTTGTGTAACATCATACAAGTCGATGATGCTACACGAACATCTAAATAGATTTTACCTGTTCCCAAGGCATTGGCATATTTTCCAGCAATTTTAGCACGGCATGCGGCACATACTTCAAAGCACCCAAATAAATTCGTTTATCGTGTCGGTATTTTTTACTCGACATATCTCCATGATCCTTAATAATTTTACGAATATGCTCTGGCGGCATATTAGCCTTCTCATGTTCTATATAGCCAAATTTTCTTCTTTCACCGTATCGTTTTGTTTGCATTTGTTGCCACTTGCGTGCCTTATCTTCTATTTTTTCAGCAGTCTGTTCGTTATTATTTGGCACTGGCGGTGGCGGTATATTGAATTGATTTGCAACATTATATTGTTGTGGTGGTGGTAGGTTGCTGAATTGATAATATTGGTAAGCAAATGGTTGTTGCGGTTGCTGATCGCCGTAATTTGCGGGAGGAAAGCCACCTTGCGGGTAAATTATTGTATCGCCATATTCAGACATTACTTTCGTTACAATTAATTACCGTTATCTATTTCTCTGTGTAACAAAGGTTCGCCGTTTCCTTTACAAGTAGAACTAATAAAAGGTTGCAGTGTATGCGCGAATCAAAGAAAGATTAAGAGAATACAAGGAAAAAGACTGCAATCGAATTTTTTTGTTTGTTTACAAAAATGTGGGGTTGAGGGCTTATTTATACGATTTTCACTCATAATTGCTTACGTAATGCAACTTTACATGATCACCTTTGGTTTGTTCGTGCTGACTCATTTTTTCCATTAAGAAATTTCGAAGTAACGGAATCCAAATAATAATGCCTACCGCTACGCCTATTTCACAGAATACCACTGTCATAGTGCACCCTTTGGTGCTGTTGTCTGTTGTTGATCACTATAATAGGGTAGCAAAGAGTACCAAAAAGCGTGTAGTTGGCGTACTTTTGGGTCAGAACAATGGCAAAACAGTAAATGTCGCAAACAGTTTCGCGGGTATGCATTCATACTTCAAAATTTAAGAATCGAAAATGAACTTATACCAAAATATCTGTTTAATCAAATAAAAATGAATATAATAGTTCCTTTCGAAGAAGACGAAAAAGACCTGTCTGTTTGGTTCTTGGATCATAATTATGTCGAGGCGATGAATGATATGTTTAAAAAAGTTAATGGCATGTATATTAATTAATTGAATGCCTACGTAAAACTCAATACAGCATTCTAATTGCCTTGCACTCGTGATAATGTAGCCCGGGAGAAAATGATTGGATGGTATCATAGTGGACCTAAACTTCGGGCTTCTGATCTTGAAATCAATGAATTATTTAAAAGATATACTCCTAATCCGGTATTGGTCATCGTCGACGTAAAGCCAAAAGATATTGGCATACCCACGGATGCATATTTCGCCATTGAGGAGATTAAAGATGTAAGTGGTACCTTTGTACCATATAAACATTGAATAAAATAATAATTATTTTAGGATACATAATCTTCCAGGATGGCACAGCAACAACCAAAACATTTATGCACGTCCCCTCACAAATCGAGGCCGAAGAAGCTGAAGAAATAGGCGTCGAACATCTCTTGCGCGACATCAAAGACAACGCAGTCGGCACATTATCCACACGCATTAACGACCAACTAAATTCACTAAAAGGCCTGCAATCACGTCTCGAGGAAATTCGTGAATACCTCCAAAAAGTAGTAAACCAAGATCTACCTGTTAATCATCAAATAATTTATAATCTCCAAGACATCTTAAATTTACTGCCGAATCTCTATGGCGGAGAAACTGTTCGCTCGTTCTCCATAAAGACAAATGACCAACTGTTGGTGATTTATTTGTCGTCATTGATTCGTGCCGTTATTGCGTTGCATAATTTGATTAACAACAAGATTGAGAATTTGAAGGGAGAACAACAGATAACGGAGGGTGGTGAGAAAAAAGATGATAATGCTAGTAAGGATAAAGAGGCTGCGGCGCCAAAAGACGCGAAGGTAGAAGTGAAAGAGGAGGGTGAACCGAAAGAACAGAAAAAATGAAAATAAAGATCATTTGAAAGAACTATTGTTTTCGCTAATTGAAAATGCAATTCTTTTATTTTGGTAATTTATTTATTAAGCGATAAATGTTTTTTTGCATGACGATTTATTTTTCAAAACAATAAATAGAAAAAATAAATAAATATATAGATGCACTACTAATATATACATCTACTGCGTAGATATTATCCCAATAATATATCACATATATCATTAATAACATGAAATTCGCTGCTAATATTGGCGGCAATAATTGGATTTCCAGCCAAATGAATTTTCAATTTTTCTTGATCACCACGCGATGACGAAACCATTTTATCATCCACTAACAACCCATCATGAACTGTCTCAAAAGTTGAGATTAAATTATTTTTCAAATTCACCTCTTTCAAAAATCTCAGTTCTCGTATTCCGTCGATTCGTGATATCAAGTTACTTTCAAGATTAACTTCACGAAGATTAATAAGATTAGCGAGAAAAGACATTGACTTTAATTTGTTATGTGATAGGTCTAGTTTGGATAGTAGCAGTAGAATTGAAGGGGTTGGAATAAAGGTGAGATTTTTGGCGGAGAATGATAATGAGGTAGGTGATGATGATGATTGTGAAGAAAAGTTTGCGTATGTCGTCTGGTTGTAGATAATTGTTTTAGGATCTTCTAGTGAACATTGAACGAGAGATACTGTTTCCTTTTCGAATATAGCTTTTGATCCTGTTAATTATATTTTGTTTTATGAGTCTCTCAAGATTGAAATAGTTATAAAAAATTAATAAATGATAACTCACGTAAATCCTCAAATCTTGTAATCCGGAAACTATCAATCTTTATTAAGCGATCACAACAGCTCACGATTTCATTATTTAATAGATTAGCCTCGTTAGATTCCAGCAATGAAGCATATTTGAGCTCGTTTAGCAAATTGACTAGAGTCTGTAAACACCCTTTGAATAAAAAATCGTAAAAAACCAAGTTTTCAATAAAATATAAAAACAGTAAATTATTAAATTGAAGATATTCACATTTGCTATCGGGTTCCAAGTCAAGTAATTCCTTTATCACACTGATTTCACGTTTCAAGAGTTCGGTTCGTTCTTGTGTGATAGTTGACAAAATCTCGGGTGCTGGAACAATTAATGATCCAGCTACCACATTATTTGAATGTATTGATGCATAATTTTCTGATGACGCAGCTGTCGATAAAAATAAAAAGCATTTTTCCGTCATAAACCAAAATATTAATTGAGAAGCGTACGTTTGGAAGGAAACTCACCTATATTATCAGTATTTAAAATATTAATTACAGGTTTCTTAACAGTTTGCATAAGATGTGATTCAGAATGTGATGGAACAATTGAAGAGGGATCGATTGTAACAGTCAATGTTGAAGAATTTGATATATCCTCCGTCGGTGTAAAAATCCATACGAATCCATATAAACGATCAGAATTCAATTGATCATGTTTGAAAATTCCACCAGATGGACGCCAATCTCCCTGAACTTTACCATTATTATTGCCGCTTCCATGACTAACTAAAAACGGAGAAATCATTCCAATTTCATCATCGAAACTGAGCACGATTCCTCTCTCTTTTGGATCAAAATATGCTCCGAGAACAGAAATATGCCGAATCTCTATATTTCAAAGAAAGAGTTTTTTTGTTTACGATAAGGATAAACGAGAAAATACTATCCAAGACAAAAACAAAGTACGAGAGCAAACCTCTTCCGACTAACCACAAATGATATAGCCAGGCACTCTGATCATCAGGATCCGTATAAATTGCCGATTTGACAAGGTCAAATTCTATTATCAATAAACCATTTGTTTCGTTCACTTAAAATATTCTTAAATTATCCACGAATTTTATGAGTAAATGAATAAACACCTTTGTCAATGAGCGCCTTTTTCTCATCTTCAGTCATATTTTTTTCTTGAAACAAACTTGGCAATAATTTGCTACGTTGATGCCAAGCAGAATAATTCGAAAAATTTTGATTGATTTTCGTAGTGGTAAAATTGAATTCGGATTCCGTGAGCGACTCTGCAGAATTATTGTTGTTTTCGTCGTCAGCGTCTGCAATTTTCATGGAAAGTTTGGAGGTGACGTAGCGGCGATAATCCCATCCATGAACTTTGAAATTAACAATAATAAATAAATATGAAGAGACCTTTTGACGTTAATTCATCAGACATCATAAAAAATACACACAATTTCTTGAGTCCAATTCCAATATCTTCCCAACAAGTTCCAGTTCCCTTTGCCAATCAGGATACGGCATATTCTCTAGACACCATCTCCGATGATTAAATATCCAGTATGATTTAGGATTCAATTGAAAAAGTGCTTGTAAGAATACTAGTTCATTGGAAAATGCTTCTTGTTTTTGGTCCGTTTCGCTAGTTAATAATCCTTGATAAATGAGTCCTCTATTACTTGAAAATCATGATATCTTTAAAAAAACACTCACGCATCTTTTAAAAGGCCATACAACAAAGTATTTCGCCGGAAATTCCAGATTGTGTAAAAATCTGGATTTTGTGATAATATTTTTGTGGCATAGTTGAATGCTTCGGTATCGAATGTCTTGCTGTTTTTCTAATTTAAAAAGATAGTGTAATGCATAAGATAAAAATAATTGATCAGTATCTGCTAATTTTGCTTTTGGTTTGGCTATCTAATAATGTTTTTTTATCTTCAATAAGAAGAAACGCGATCCTTTCCAGTGGTGACGATTTTTTTATTTTTGCTTTTTAAAGAAAAGAAAATAAACGAACCTTATTCAAGCATGCAGCCACTAGGTCACTATATTCTTTAATTTTTACAGCTTCTTTTTCTTTTCGTTGACGTTCTGCCTCGGTACTAGGTTTTACACGTTTACGACCATGCATTGCGAATTTTTTGTCAAATTCTCTAATTGAAAACGCGAATCTAATGTACTCTCACGTGACATTTTAGGGAAGCACAAAAACAGGAAGTGCTGAATCACGTGGCCTTCGACACTAACACTAACGATAATCTTTAACGTCAATTTTTCGTGATCACGTGCGCGTGTATTTTTAATGCCACGTGATCATGTACTGTTTCGCAACAAAAACGAGAAGTCTACGAACAGTGCTTAGGGACAGCGCAAAATCATGTGATCTTTTCGGACCATGTCGGACAGTACTTAGAGATAGTGCAGAATTATGTGATCTTTTCAAATCACTATCTGAATTTATAGATCACATGATTATTAATAATGTAATGAACAAACTTCATTTTTTAAATTACACACATGCACATATACAAACATACATATTTTTCTTTATAAAATCTTTATTTCATGTTCTCTATATTGTTATCATTCTTATATCGATAGGCAAAGTATTGTTGTATAATGGAATTTCACATTAATTATTAGTCAAAATTATCATTTAATCTTATTGGATAATTTTGAGAACA